TGCAATTTACGCAAGTTCTGTATGTATAACACCCTTGAGATTGTCGCCGTTCTCCTCAACAGCACCATGCGCGCTGAAATCCTGCCCCATATGTAACAACTGCCTTCATAGTCAAACGCCATCCCTTTGCGTTGATTGGCAAGCATCCAGCTCTGCGGAACATGCACAAAAACCCAGGCAAAAGCCTCAGTGCTTCTTTTGTTGATAGGTCATAGGCCCTCGCACTATTTTCCAATGGTAGCTTCACCGTGTCCCTCCTCTTAGTTGTGTGCATCTGTAGTACGAGCACATGGTTCCTGTCAGAAACATGTAACGCCTTCGAGTGCAGCCTCAGCCCGGCCAGAGTGACACAATACTCGTCCTCTTTACTGGCCATGTTTGTATGTCCCTTTTCACAAGCGCCATGACACTTGCAATCCATGCAATGAGCTGGACGGCTTTCTGACGACTTGTCAGATCTGTTCATAAGGGTCGAATTGAGGCATTTTATCACCGTTTATCACCGTTTGCCCTTCTTGCTTAAAATTCCTTTTTCCCTTTTTCCCAGTCAGAACACGCCCCCATGGGGCTAAGCCAGTTGTCCTGGGTTAGTCACGAGTCTATCCTGATGTGTCAGGATTAAATGGCTAACGGTATGCTTAACAGCTGCACAGCTACGGCATGCCACTCCCCGGACTCCTGGACGTGCTTGGGCCAAGGCTCTATGCACACAGGTGGCTTATTTACGCATTTTGTCACATTTTATGCGCACAAGAAAAACACCACACCCGCCAATACACCATGCTTACACTATAATGAGCAAGCCTGATCCAAGGTAGACTGCATGTGTTTTGGTCCGAGGAGAATGTGCCAATGTCCGAGCATCAAACAGTGCCTGTGATTAGGGTCTGCGAACAGTAGCTCAGCGAAAAGCCGACTGCGTTGTCGTCAGTCTCTGACTGCTGGCGGGGCTAGTGCACTGGGACAAAGACCGGGCGAATGGCCGGATGCCCCGTCCGAGGAGCGTCGTCGAGCCACGCGTCGCCACCCGAGAGCCGCACCTCCGCGTCCGCAAGGCGGAACGGTGGGCGCGCGAATCGATGGCCGCCAGTCTCAGCACACCGCCGCCACATCGACCTGACACGTCCGCTCCCCGCACGCCCCACCTTGGACCAACCGCATTCACCTTGGGCACTGCAGGGCGGCTTCGGGGCATAAAAGCCGTGACCCATCCCTACGCGGACCAGTCTCACTCTTCCTTGACCCCTTCCTCCAGACCGTCGACAGCCCCCAGCGCCCTCGAGCCTACCAAGCGCCGCCAAGAACCCGCAGGAGCTGCTCTCAGTGAGTACAGCTGCCCTGGCGGTTGCCCCGATGCGTCTTTTGGATGTCCGTTTCATCGGGCACGCCGACATCGGCCCATCGATGGGCGCCGGCGATGCTTGTTGCGACGCGGTTCCCCCCTTCTGCTGAAGCGCTGCGTCGCGGCGGACAGGAGCCTCAGGAGCAGGGGCCCAACGGGTGGGGGGGTGGGGGTCGATTTCTGTTATCGGGCGCAAAGATTGCGGCAATGTGGGGCAAGAAGCGTCGGGTGCGTTGGCGCCTGTGGCCGCCCTGGCTGGAGGCTCCACGCCGGAGAAGAGTCCACAGACCGGATGGGCCGGAGTGCGGACAGCTAGGCGTGGCAGGCGCCGGAGGGGCAATCCCTGCTAGCCAAGTCTCGCAGTCGGGCCTTGGCTGTCGCGATGCGCATCGGCGAACCTGGGCATGGCGCTGTGGCGCCTCGGGAGCTCCCCAAGAAACGGGAGCGCGCTTTGGCGGCCGCGGGCGCGGGTGCTTCGACGTGCAGTGGGTCTATCCCCCCCATCTCACTTTGCACTCCCTTGTGGCGTTCCGCAGGGATGCCGGCCGCTCTCCGCCGTCACAGCAGCATAGGCCACAGGCGTGGTGAGTCACCCGCGACTGTGAGTGTTAGCCGCATCAATGTATAGGTCGAGCAAGTGCCAATGGTTCAGTTCAACACGTGTGTTGTAAATGCTGTGTGCCGCAAATGCAGGCCGCAAAAACAAGCGTACGAACAGCGGTAAGAAGAGGAGCAATGCCCACAGGGCGGCGGGGAAGCGTGCTGCCGCTTCAGCGCAAAAGGTGTGACTGGCAGGCCGAACGCTGTACTTCAACTCCCATGCAATAAAATTGTGTCGAATTCGACAACACTGAGTGACTTAATGCACACGGGGTGGCGCTGGTGCGCCGCGCCTCCCTGCACCAGGACGCCAGGCACCAATCACTGAAAGTGGTTGCGCGATGAGTTTGAACTATTGAGAATACAATAAACAGAGCTCATGCAATGTGGGAGAGCGGGTGCATGGAAAGTGACGACTGAAATTTGCCATTTGCCTCGCAGGCATCTCCACACGAGTCTCCAAGAATCCGAGCCGTGTATGTGGCGGACGAAGCCGAGGTTGTGGACTTCGGTCTGCAAAGGCTCTTCAAGGAAGAGGTGAGCAACATGAATGTCACCCATATCGACCCGCTCCAGTCCGGATGTTGTGCGCCTTGAATTAGTCATACATGATTTGGAGCAGCTCAGGATCATATCGAGTACTACCACTGCTGCCGGGAATCGCTCGAAAACTCGGCAGGAAATCGCGCTACTTTCTTTCAACAGCACCGAAGACGTTGGAATGATTGCGTGCGAGTTCTCTGAGGGCGCATTCTCGCAAGGGGGGGCGCACCAGCCACGCTGCCCAACGTGGCACATATGCAAAAAAGAAGTTTCCGTTCTGGCGAAAATCGGGAAAAGGAAGTATTCCAGTAGGACGCTTGCTCGGGGAACGCGCCGCGGGACACATTACTTTAAAGTAATGCGGTAATGGTGAATTTACCATTCCCTGTTGCACAAGCTTGTCTTTAAGCAGTTGATAACTTGGCACTCACTAACTATCAAATCAATGTGCATCCCTGCCAACAGCGCGAGGCAGCGGCGAGCCTAATCCATGATGACAAGGCCTACATGGGCCTTTCGGTCCTGTTCGACGAAGGCCGGGACGACGGGGAGTCCATTGGACTCGCCGACCTTTTAGAGGAGGCTGGCGATGCGGACGTCGCCTACTGGGCCGTTGACTTTGGCCTGGCCGCGTTGTTCGAAGAAGGTGGAGACAAAAAGAGCACGATGCGCTCGTGGACGGATGTCGCTTGGGTGGCCCTCGCCGGCGCGGCAGTGGCTGTTCCGCTGGCCATCTGGGCGCTGCGGGGCTGCCGCAGCCTCAAGAGGGGCCTGACGGGATGAGTCTGTGGACGCGTCGTGGATGGCATCGGAGCCAGGTTTTTGGATGGGTTCACCAGCTTGTGGATGAGATGATTTTCGGCTTTGAAGACAATATCCGCGAAGAGTGGTCATCGTACAAAGCACCCCGAGGGGATTTTCCTGTGTCGCAAGGGCCGGCTCTTTGCAATTGCGGCGCACAGCTGCTGTAGAGCTGGGTGTACGGGAACTTGTTTTTTCTCAACCTGAACCGAATGAAGGTCGATGGGATGTCGGAAGGGCGAGCGGCCGTTGGAGAAGACTTCACTGGGGAAGTCCTTCCCACGCCGCCAGCCTGGATCTCATCACTTGTATTGTAACTTTTTTCAGTGCTGGAATGATGGGCCGTCCAAGCTTGGAAAGTATGGATGAGACGATAACAATGATACGGAAATTCGTCCATTACATCGTATATTTCTTGCTCATATTTTTCAAGCTTTGCTAGGCTGGGAATGGGTAGCATCTGCCGCTGCAAAACCAGCAGCGTAGCACTCATCAGGACTGTCGATTGGCAAGCGATGGTAGTTTATGCAACCGCATGCAGCAAAGTCGCAGCTGCAGCCCCGGCACTGGCAATACCAAGCAGCTGACTTGAGGGTACCGCACTGCGTCGAAGCTACACTCGAGCGAGAGACTTTTAACTCATTCTCCTACATCGAATGTGAGTAGTGGAGCCGTCAAAGCTCGTCCAACATTCGGGGTCTGCACGCTGACAGCACTTTGCATGCGCAAAGATGTACGCCTTGTGACTGAGAGCTGGCAACGGCGTTCTGGAGCGCAGGAGTCGGCAGACGCGTGGCAAAACGGCGGCGCCGTTCAATTTCCTGTCGTTATGGCAGGGCGGCGGAACGGAGCTGACTGCAGCAAAGAAGAATGCTGACGTTGCCACATTTTTTTCAAGTGACGTTTGGATGCCGCCACATCAACCTCTGCGCCGCGACCATCACATGACCACGTCACCGGGGCTGGCGCCGGGGTGGTTCTCCATGGCTGGAGATGGACGACAGCCGGTGGAACTTGCAGGGCAAACGAACGGAAAACTTTGGATCAGGAGCGGCCATGCAGCTGCCATTGTGTGATGTGCCGCCTGACAGCACGAGCCCAGGCTGCGGCCAACCCTGTTCGCTCGCGATTCTGCCACAACTGGTAAAAAAAGTGAACATTCGAAGGTTCGGCGCAGCCGCAGCAGTTTCCGGTCCAATCACGCGAGGGGCACAGCGCCATGATAATCGGCCCCCGTGTCCGCATGAATGGCCAGCACGCCACCGACACCCGCGAATGTGCCTCTTCCAACCCCATCACGAACTTGGCGTCAATCCACCACCACCTTCGGCTTCCCCTCGGCTGCGCCCACCGCCCTCCGCCGGCTATATATGCGCCACCCCCGTTCCCAAAGCGCGACAGTCGGAGCGCTCCCATCCAAGCACATAGCACCTGCCCCTGCTTCTGCTCTCACTGCTGCCTCTGTTGACGGACAGCTACAAGCATGGCGAGGCTGCAATTTTCGACTCCTGCGTTGGCGGTGAGCATTATGGGCGAGGGGAGCACATGCCCTTGAGTGTTCCGCAGCTCCGCCGTCACTGAGGAGGAGCTCGCTTTGCGTTCGGCGATGTTCTCGTGCGCGGTATCCCGCAAAGGCTAGTTGCCCTGGCGCGAGGGCCGCACCCATATGGGTGCATGCATGCGTGTGTGGGAGTTCCTGTGCAGGGCTTAATCCATGTCATGTTTCCCGTGGGTGCGATCAGTGGGCGGCGTGCATTGGGCCCAGCTGCCCTCCGCTATTTGGGCCCTGCGCTCCGCGGGCGTTCGTCAGGCTGTAAGGGGGCGGGTTGCGCCCTCGGGATCGCGCCATGGTAAGCGGATTCAAGCGCATTATCAACGTTTGGCTCCTCCCTGCCCGCAGGCGTTCCTCATGGGGCTGGCGCTCGTCAGTGCAAGTAAGTTGCCCGGGCTGTTGGGCCCCTTTGTCACTCGATCTCCCCTGCTCGCTGCCTGAAAGGGAATGAATTTGCCCAACGTGGCTTCGCCGATTTTGCGCACCAATCAAGGCGCGCTCGCAGCCAATAGAGGCGCTGATGGAGACCAACCTTGCGGTGTGTCGGACGCAGATGAGCTGAGCATCGATGTGCACTTCGGCGGCGGGGGCGGCCGCAAGATGCTGCAGACCTCGACGGGCTGCCTGACGGCCGACAACAGCTGCCTGTTCACGGCCTTCGGCATCAGCGTGGGGTTGGATGAGGAGGTCGTGGAGGAGGGGGGGGTGACGCTGTCCACCACCTATTCCACCACCGGCTGGGCTACGCTGCTGCCCGGAGAGACCTTGGAGCTGTGCGTGGAAGCCAACAACACGAACCCCTCCGTCTGGCTCTACGCCAAGGACCTGTCCAGCGAGGGCGCTTTCTGCCCGCCCACGGAGGGCGACGACATGCCGGATGGCTACGTGGACAGCATGAAGTTCTGCCTCCACGGCGAGGAGCCGCACACCGTGATCAGGGACACCAACCTGGCGCAACCGTACAGGGACGACGATACCGGCGTCGTGAGCGCCACGTGCGCCGGACTGGGGTCTTGCTACGGCGAGGCCACCTTCTACGAGCTCGACCTGCCCAGCAAGTGGAGCCTGCCGTGCCTCAGGGACTAGATCTGGGCGGCGCACTCAGCCTGGGTGCGGGTCGCCGATTCGGCCTGCCGTGTCGTTGGATGAGCTTGAGCGACGGGGAGCCGTCCGGGAAAGAGTTGGGGAGGGCGGCGGCCCTCTTCGCCAGGCCCCCTTGAGAGAAGGGTGGCGCTCTTGTTGTGGCGGCGCGGCGGAAGTGTTGCGAGATGTTGACGCACGGAAACGATTCTCTTTGTAATCATAATGAATGACCATGGATTGAGTGATCGACGATGACCGAGTTGTGTCCGTTCTGCACAGCCCCGTCTGGCGCCCGCGGTGCACCCTTGTGGTGCTGTTGACAAGGGCTTGCGTTGGGCACGCTGTCCACCGCGAGCCGCCCCAGGCAGACAGAGAAATGCTCAGTAAGACCCAACAAGGCCCAACAAGCACGCCACGTGCAACGTACTATTATTCCGTACAGTAACTCCTTGTGTGCGCGCCGTTCAATATTGAACGATTATCGATTAATCGTCCAGCGTCAGGTACAAACTGTTCTTCGAGGAAAGAACCGCCTACATTTTAGGGGATCATTGGTGCCATTTCTTTTAATTTGGAAATTTTACGTATCAGCAGGCCTGGGAAATACAGCTGGCTCTTATTTAAAATACGCAATATTATTGCGGCAATAAGAAAGCGTATACTTTATTGAAAATATTTTTGAAAAATTGTTCTAAATGCCTATTCATTCGACCAATTAATGAATGAGAACTGCTACTTGCATCCCACGAACCGACGAGCTGCAAGTCACGAGGGTGGCGGTGGTGTTGTGAATGTAGCGACGCACGAGTGGCAATGCCCAAGGTCCCCAGGGTCGGGCGTTTGGCTCTAGCGCTGCGTAAACCATTTCACGGGTGTCACATCCCAGCGTGATAAGTGCGTGTACTGTGGCATTGTCGCGAGTGGTGGGGATGCACGCCAGTGTTGCCATTTGGCCAGCATCACCAGATCTGGGGCTGCTGTGTTACGTGATACCTTATAAGGGGTAATTACACCAGCCCAATGGCCGCTCAGCGCACACCAACGGCCTCTGCCACATTATGGAGCTGTGTGTTGGCTGAACATCATCAAATCAGAACAGCACTTTGGCACGTAAAATTTCAACGTTGCACAGACCGTCCCATCGCGCAAAGTTGAAGAACAGGCGTAATACTCGCAAACACACACCCTCAAGACACGTGAATGGAGCCCCACATGTGAGAGTCAATTTTCCAATATTGTAATTTTGCTAACGTGTCAATCTTTGTGAAGCATCCTGGTTAATGCGTTGAACGGCTTTAATCAGAGAACAATTGTCCCTCGAATCTAATTGATAGCAAGGCTGCGTTTGCGTGAAAGTCTCTTGAGATTTCACGTTACAACACCATATAGCGCAATGAGGCAAGTTTTTGAGGAGCAAGAGAGTCGCGATTTATGGCTCATAAAAGAAGAGACCTGAATCTAAGTCATTCATAGTCCATGCATTGAAATATGATCATTATTTTAGTACTATATATGTCGTGCCACAACTTCGTGGAGTAGTTTTCAATGTCGATGCAGGGCACACAATAGTAGGCTACTATCCCTTATTGTGTCCTGAAAAGACGTTGTGTCAAGCAGACTTGCCGGTGGCAGCGGTGAAACTGTGGATCTCCGTGGAGGAATCGTGTTTCCATAGCAGGGTGTACAAGATTATGCAGCGTGCGACTTAAGTCTTGGGCAAATAGAAACAATTCCTGTCTTTCGCGAAATTCATTGATTCCGTAATACTACCTTTACCTGTTCCGCTTTCCCAAGCTTGCGTGCACCATTGTTGAAGCACTCAAACAGAATTAATAACATCGAAAATGCAATGGACGAGGCTTGCGAAGAGGGCTGAATATCCTCAGTGAAGCCTGCTCCACAGCCGATCAGTGGAATGAGCGACTGTGGAGAAGGTTGCATCGATGGAATTCTTCGCTCGTCCCAAGTCCCGGCTATCGCAATTTACTATAATTCTGTTTCAGTTCTGCAAGGATTTACCGTGCGAGCTTGGGATCACGTATGTCGACCATTTGCCTTGCATGCACTGCTTGGGATGGCCCCAGCGAGCCACCATTCAATTGAGGGGAAAAATTAAACCCATCCCCATGATTTCCACATCATTATTAATGTGGTGGTTGTGGTGAACGTGTGCGTGTTGTCTCCGGAAGGATTCTACAAGGCCCAAATTTGACTTCACACCTATGGTGGTGTCCCAGTATGCATGTATGAATTAGCAGTTGTGCTCGGAGCACAGCGCCGACGGCCTTAAGGCTTAAGCACTTCAAATTGCCGTCACAAAATGTATTATCCCCAGACAAAGTCGAATTTCTGAGGGTCTTCAATGCTCGTAAGCGACGCAGGCCTCAAAGTATAATATATTGGAAGTGCATTAGGGCGATGACTGTTCTTGAGACCATCAGAAAGGGATGAGCAGCATTTATGTAAGAATTCGAGGTACTGTACTTCACGTCCACCATGAATGAGAGCAATAAATCGGAGCAAAAACTGTGTTTTAGTAGCAAATAGCTTCTTTTGACTTCTTGACCTCAAAGGACCCGCCGAGGCGCTCTAAATAGGCATGCGGTGACGGCGGGAAGACATAAAAACAAGTCCATGGTCAAGAAAATCGGTACAACCGATAATTTTTTTGTTAGAACGTGATTATGCCAGACACCAACGCTGGCTTGCATAATACCGGCGTGAGGATGCGCATCACGCAGGCGTAAACTTGCAAACCATCATTAAGGGTTGGGGAGCAGTAACTCCCCAATAGCTCCCCCGGAGCTATTCGGCGCCCAGCGGAGCTATTCGGGGCCAGAATAGCTCCGCTCGAGTCCGAATAGCTCCCCAGAATAGCACCGGTGCTATTCGCGCAGCACTTGGCGGCGGCGGCTTGGAACAACGCGGAGGGGCCTTAGTACAGCGGAGAGGCCTTGGGACAGCCGAACCATGCAAATAGCACCCCCCGTTACGGATGCCCACGGGGTGCTATTGCTCCCCAATAGCACCGGCGCTATTTGGCACATGCCACCTTAGTAAGGTGGCACGGCAGCCAATGAGAACCGTTCCTGAATAGCTCCGCCGGAACAATAGCCCCCACCGATAAAGATGCTCTTAGGAAATTGTTTGCTACCAAGTTCTTGGTCTAGAGAGGGAGATCTCTAGAGAGAGTGTTTACAGCTCAGGCGCAGGCACAATTAATTATACTCCATAAAACCAGCACTAGCGCCTAGACAACATTCTGCCAAAGCTGCAGGAAAGCCACGGTGCATTTCTGGAAATTCCCAAAAAAATCATGAAGTGCGATGCAAAACAATGTACAGAACATTGCGGTGTTATGTTCTGGACATCTCCAACCTACTTTACAGTACTGCGGATCCCACATTGGCAAAAGTTCATAAAAATAGTTCAGATGGCCTTGCGCTGGGAAGTGGCTCCTCACCTCTGCAAGCAGATCCCTGATTTCTGAGGTTGCCGAGCGTTTCAGTACGTGTTCGCTGACTACTTGATCACAAGTTCATGTTTCATGAACAACCACTCTCGCTTGGTATGACAGGCGATTTCAGTTGCTTTGTATCATGATATTTTTCTGTTCTGTCTGCAGTAATGCACACCAATATGGAAAACACCCCTTCTTCCTAATTTGCTATGAAACAAATTTTGTGGCAACCAACAACAAGATGGGGAGTAATGGTGCAATCGCAAACCAAAAAATTCGGACAAATGAAGCCAGTTCAATACAATATTTACTGACTCTCGAAGTAACCAAGCGGCAATCCTCCACTTGTATTACTCCAGTGGATTGTCCTGCATGACAAGCTTATTAACCAATGAAAGGGAAAGGTTGACCCAAATTTCTGCATCGCCAAATTTCAAGAAATGAGCAAGTAATACACAGGTGTATTCATACGTGATGATGATGGTAACGAAGCTGTCATTGCGCTATGATCGGGTCAATGATTGGGCAGAATCAGCCGAAAACCACTTCCTTGCCTTGATGCGCATTACATATCCTGAAGGAAGAAATATTGGAAAGCACCAAATAGTGCATAACAACAGTGGACAAATAATGAATGGACCACTACATCTCGAAGGGCTTAGCTGTGGTGAACTGCTGCAACACGTCTCGTTCCATCCGACCCTTTCCTTTCCTTTCCCCTTCGCTTCGCCCGGGGCGAATCGCCCCAACCCCCTCCCCAAGGCCACCAGCACAGACAGAGACAACTCCGAGCCCAACCAAGGAATGTCGGGCACCGATGAGTTGCGAGCGCGGAATGGGGACCCGACACGGACGAAGACCACTCCCATGGAGATTGCACTACAATGTTCGTTCAAATATCCGCGTCGATGCTTCCCAAGTTTCGAAGCCCCATCCTTCCAGCACTGAAAAGGAATTACTACACAAGTGATGGGATCCGGGCTGGTGTCGTGGGAAGGACTCCCTCAGCGAAGTCTTCTCCGACGGCTGCTCGTCCTTCCTACACCCCATCGACCTTCATTCGTTTCAGGTTGAGAAAAACATCTTCCCGTACACCCAGATCTACAGCAGCTGTGCGCCGCAACTGCAAAGAGCCTGTCCTGGCGACACAGGGAAAAGCCCTTCAGGGTCCTCTGGACGATGACCACTCTTTGCGGATATTGCCGTCAAAGCCAAAAACCATCTCATCGGCGAACTGATGAGCTCATCCAAAAAACTGGCTCCAACGCCATCCACGACCCGTCCGTGGATTCATCCCTTCAGGACCCGCTTGAGGCTGCGGCAGCCCCGCAGCGCCCAGATGGCCAGCGGAACAGCCACTGCCGCGCCGGCGAGGGCCACCCAAGCGACATCGGTCCAGGAGCACATCGTGCTCTTTTGTTCATCGTCTTCCTCGAACAACGCGGCCAGGCTAAAGTCAACGGCCCAGTAGGCGGCGTCCGCATCGCCAGCCTCCTCGAAAAGGTTGGCGAGTCCAAATGACTCCCTGTCGTCCCGGCCTTCG